CAGGCAACCCCCATAACCATCCCAATAGTGCACTCTGCACTAAAAAGGCACGTTTCCTATCGCGAGGCCCTCTTGTTTAGTTGCCGGAAAACTAAAACTTTCTGTGTAACATGACCAGCTGAATTTTTTCAGAAAAGAAAAGAATGAAACGAAAAAGCTCGTTTTTCAATACCTCAGGGCAAGTTCCTGAAGTTTAAGCCTTGCAACTTAACAAATTAATGCCCGTTTTTCATGCGTCTGTCATGTTATTCGTCATGAATTACGTCATAACAATGTCAAAGTAGCTGGATTTTTTAGACTAACAAATTGTCAAATTGTCCCCCCTCGCTCGTTGCGTCAACATCACATAACTTAGCTTTACATTTATGTCTCTCTCCGCTTATTGACAATTAGCTAATGAGCGCGCGAGAATTTCTGCACTTATTGTAAAAAAGCTTTTGCTAACAAAATATTCAATTCAATCTATGCAGAGCCAATAAAGCCCAGAATTACGAAGACTGGAAGGGATATGAAGGTAGAACTCCTCGTTAGACTGTCAGAAGTGGTCGGAGGTAACATACTGTGTAGAGATGGTATCGATTTGGAGTTGACTTGCCCTGTACAAGGGCTGCCTACACCAAAAATCAATTGGCTGCGAGGAGACAAGAAAGTTGGTGCAGGTGGAAGACTAAAGCTTGGCATTTTGAAGGAGGAAAGTTCTGGAAATTATTCTTGTGTCGCGACCAACATTGCAGGAGAGGCACGAAAAACAACCCAACTGACTGTAAAATGTAAGTTATGTAGGTAAACACAGTGTCAAAACTATCCCGTATTCAGTTGTGCTGCACTAGGAAAGGCTGCGATGACAGATGATCATAACTGTTTACACGAGAACTACTGCGCATAAGATAAAAATGTCGCTTTTGCACCACGGCTTTCTTACTGTCGTTTTTCTTTATTTACTGCCTACTTGCCGTCCTGCCTTCATTCTTGGCTGAAAAGCAGCGCTTACAAATATCAGTTCAAACTGCGAGATGGTGGAAATTTGCTGTGGTTGATGATTTTTGTGTATTATTGTCAGGACCTGGTTGTTTCACAATCATTATATGCCATTTGGTTTGAAGAGAATAGGTGAGGGTGAAGGGTGTTCCGAAGCGAAATAAGTTGATCGTCTCTTGTTTTTCCTTGTAGCTTCCATTCCACCTGTGATCCAATCGAGTACCAAAGTGATCGAATCCTATGAGGAGGACTTGTATCTGGCGGTGGAAATTGGAACCCGTTTAGAAGTAATCCAAGGGGCTAAAATTGATCTCATCTGCCGCGTCACGGGATTCCCGACTCCCAGTGTTAACTGGGTCAAAAGGAACTCACCTTTGACAGCCAGTTTTGAGCGTCAAGGATTTTTCATTGTTCCGTACAACGGCACAAGCACCACACTACTCATCCGAGGATCCCAGCCGCCTCAGGAAGACGAAGTCTATGGCTGCACAGCTTATAATGGCGGGGGATCTGACACGGCCTTCTCATACGTGACATTTAAAGGTGCGTCGTGAAGTCTACGACACCTTTACACTAAATGACGAATGCAGTTAATTTTCCAGTGAAATGTTCACGCAATAAAATGAAAGTTGTGATGGTGCAAAATAGGTTATAGCTATCACTTAAAGGGTCATAGTAAGGTTTCATTTGAAGACTTCGTGTGAGGATCGACTTCTCGATAGCTTTCATTCGAATGACCACGCACTTGAGTTTCAATTCAATGCTAAAACCACATTACGCAAGTCATGGTTTACCTGTAAAAACAAAATAATTACTTTTTCGCTTTTAGTTTGAATAATTATACACGGCTAAGCGTGTATGAAATTAACGCCGTGTTTTTAAACACGTTGTCAAAAACACGGTGTCGGTGGGTATTGTATATTTTCAGTGATACATCTTTGACTGTGGTCAGTCGCTTTTACGTTATTGAGCAATTTAATCCTCTCTTATTTGCATTAGTGACATTAGACACTTTTTATTCCAGAGCGTGTTGCGCCCAAAGTGCTATCCACTTGGCTTACTGGCTCTGTTGGCGTTCAAGAGTCGCTTGAAACTAGAGATCCTGTCAAGGTTATTCTCGGTGAAACTGCGCGAATGTTTACGAGAACAAAGGTATGATGAGCTTGAAAGGTCGTTCTTCTATCTTCTTTTTAGTATTACTCTGGTCTGTTACAAAAAGGTTAAAAGTTACTGTGTTTTCATTTCGGTAATGATTGTCTATTGCAAGTTTCATGCCTTAGTAATAACGTAGGCCAGTTTTAGGCTCAAAACCTCGTCGTTGAATTGTTAATTGAGACGCAGTAACGAAGGCCGAAGATAAGCAATGTGCCCATGTCCACACAAACTCGTAAATCAGGGGCGGTGCTAGGGGGGGAGGGTGCAGGGGGTGCGCACCCCCCCTCCCCTGAGATGAAGCCTTCTTCGTATTCGCTTTTAAAATTTGTTTACCTCACTAGTTACGCCATTCCTTAATGGTGTACCCCCTGCTAAGAAAAATCCTGGATCCGCCCCTGTAAAAATTTGGCGTCATTCACAAGTCTTTCAGTCGCGCATGATCCATGCAAAGCAATCGTAACCAACAATTAACTACGGTGATAGATGGTCTCGTTTCTATTGTTTAAATACGTAACCATGGCAATGCAACTGATTTAAAGGTGACGATAGTGTGTGAAGTGGAAGCCATACCCGTGGCGAAGGTCACGTGGACCAAGAATGGAGGGCCTATTTATGCTAAACACAGCGTAAACGGCACGAATTTGGTTCTTAGTGAACAAAGTGGTATTTCTGACTCGGGGCGTTATGCCTGTACTGCAAGGAACCTCCTTGGAAGAGACTCTGCTTTTTCTGATATCACTTTTATAGGTAAGCCAATTACTTTCGTTTAAAGGAACTACGCCGCCTTTTGCGCATGTTTAAATGTTTAGCCTAAATTTTTCAAGTTCGTCGTTTGTAATCCATGTTAATCTTCTCCATCCTTGTTCCATACTTGTTCCTTTATGGTTTATGATTATCTCTTTGGTGTTTTCCTATCTTACACTAACGGCATAACGGTAAGGTCACGCAAACGCAGAAAAAAATCCCCATGTTGATATCAGTTTTATGCCACTAATGTGATTAACACAGCATAACAGAAACATGACGACATAAACATTAAAGGCTAAGGGAAAAAACTAATCTTTCTTTATGTCGTTTTGCCCGTCGTAGTGCGACATTACCCGACATAGCTACTTTACTTAATTGAGACACGAACTGTAAAATACATTACATTATTGAGTGGTTCATTTAGAAAGAAAATGATTACGTCATTGACGCTAACATGCCGGTCAATTCGAAACCTAAACATGCCCCAGTTACCCCCCGGGGCAAACTTTACGTTTTGAATTTTTAGTTGGACAAATTTGATTACCCAACTAGTGACTGATCGGCAATATTGTCCCGGTTATTCCCACTGGTTTTTAAGATATTCCAAGGTTTGAAAATCCAAAGACTCTTTAAGAATGCTGACGGCTACCTGTAACAGCTGCATGAAAAGAAAAGGGTCTTATCGTTGTACGGGAATTTAAGAAGTTCGAAAAATGGCTCAGTAAATTGCCTAAATCACGAAGGAGCTTTCGGGACGAAGTTTTGGCCTTAATATCAAAGTGTTGTCATGGGCAACCTTCATCGTTTCCGGTGGTGACAGCCGCGCGTCGCCTACAATTTCGCGCGATTTGCTGCTATGACGTCAAAGGCCAAGAAGCCAGTTGTTCATGACAGCAATATGATTTTAACGTTCAACCTCCGTCACCAAACTTCCGTCGCGCCTTACTCAACTGATAATCGTAGTAATGGTCTCGCCTATAGCTCCTCTCCGTGCGAATTATGCCACACTGTATATTGATGTTTGATGCTCTTTTTTTTTTCATCAGAACCAATTCTACCAACAATCATAACAGGCGAATCGTCAGTATCAGTGCTATCTGCAACGAATTACAGAACAACAATTGGCACCAACATAACAACAGTGATCGGAAACAACATTACCTTCGTGTGTGTGGCAGAAGGTCTTCCCAGACCCGAAGTGTCTTGGTGGAAAGACGACCTTGATCTGAACGTTAACGAGACTTCTCATGTTGTGTATGCAAGCGGTACGAATGCCACCGGGGTCTATTCGTGCGTGGCAAGCAATCTTGGAGGCTCCTTTACGACCAGTTCCACTATGACTGTTCTTGGTTAGTGAGCACATTTTTCTCGGGGAGGAGGGGGTGGGGGGAGCAATGATTGTCGTTAACGTTCCGGAATCCGGCGGTTTCTCACAGTCCTCGTTTCTTTTTAGATCGCATCGCACCAGAAAAAGCAACACGACCACGTATCATTACAACCCGCGAAAATCAAGAGTCAGTCGGCGAACGAAGAACAGTCGAACACACTGTTGGGGGAAATGTGACCATTCTAGAAGGAAGGAACCTCCTGTTAAGGTGCCCAGTGGAAGGGGTACCAACACCGTCCACAAGGTGGCTCTTTGATGGGATTTCTGTGCAAGTGACTGATACTCTTCAAATTAATGACGACACAGGCGACTTGAAGATCATCGAGATGACCCAGGATGACGTAGGGGAGTATTCTTGTGTTGCTACAAACATTGCTGGTCAGACTGTGGAGGTGTCGTATACAACTGTTATTGGTGAGTTTAACGCGATGCAGGTATTCTTGTATCACTTAAGTGGCGCTCCAAATCCTACGCGTCCATCCATGTATTTGTTGCCATAGTCATGTCTAAGAATTGGATAGTAAATTAAAAGTGAAGGTGAAGAATGATCATCGCAGTAAATTTTCCAATTTAAGCAATTGGAAAGAAGAAGCCTGAAAAAAATCAGGGCTTCAACG